TATTTAGCATTTTCCATTAAACATTTTACAAGTTTACATTATTTTTTATAATTATTATCACTGCAATGATTACATTTATCCAGTAGTCAATAGAAACTAAAATCTAGCCTAGAGATACTCTTTCTCTTTGTGCCCTAAATATCTGTATGCCAGTTTATGTAGTCATTGTAGTCAGCCTGCCACTGTTCTGGGACCCAAAAAATATGCATCACAATATAAATAAAAAAAAAAAAAAAATGAAATACATTTAAACAAATGGAAAATGAGAGTATCCAACCCACAGGTTCTCTGGGCTATTTTGCTGACCAAATGTTAAAATTATTTTACTTGTGCAATAAAGAACATTTATGTTCTGACTCAGTTCTTGTGTTTTCTCTGTGTATCTCATGGTGTGATCTAGCTGGTCAGCTGACGGGGAACTCATCAGTAGAGATGTACAGGCAGGTGCTGCTCACGGGCTGCCGTTGTATCGAGTTGGACTGCTGGAAAGGACGTCCCCAAGACGAAGAACCTTTCATTACTCATGGTTTTACCATGACCACTGAGATTCCGTTTAAGGTACAGAATGAAACAGATTGGATTGCAATATAGCTCATGGACAACTGATATCAACAAGCTATCTCTGTTCTTCCACAGGAAGTAATTGAAGCAATAGCGGAAAGTGCCTTCAAAACCTCTCCATTTCCACTTATTTTATCCTTTGAAAATCATGTTGACTCGTAAGTCTTCTTGTTTCTTCGTTTCCATTGCAGTTTCTAATCTTTTCCTACTATCTTTTTTATTTAAGATATAATTCTTGATTGCATTACTGAGTTAAATATGTTTTTTCTGTTTTGTGCAGAGCAAAGCAACAAGCTAAGATGGCCGAATACTGCAGAAACATCTTTGGAGATGCTCTTCTAACTGAACCGCTAGAGAAATATCCTGTAAGGATTATGTTGCCTTCCCACAATTTTGTCATTGTACTTTACTAGCTCTATTTCCACTTGAGTGTAATTTGTTTAATTTTTGCTTGGTTACTTTCTTTTTATTAATTTTCCATCTTTTTTACTTTATTCCTTGCCTTTACCATTAAGTCCTGCTATGGAGGACTAAGCCCACTTTCTCTGCTAAGAACCCTAATATATCTGTGTGGGTTTAAATACTGAGAATCTACTAAATATTGCACAAAATGAAACTTGCACTTTGGTAAATGTCATTACTGTCATTACTAGGGATGCACCGACACCGATACTAGTATTGGTGACGATACTGAGTATTTACATAGTTGCATAGTATTTGACGTTGAATAAAGACACAGGTCCATCAAGTCCAACCTATATCGTGTATGCATGTGAATCTACATGTGTATGAGTGTGGATGAGTCCATGGGGGTGATTTACTAACCTAAACACACGCACGCACTAGGTGCGTGTGATTTTTACACCGCAAAACTTATTTATTAACCAAAAAGTCTCTAAAAGCATATTTCCACTAATGCCATATATGGAAAAATCATGCACATGATGCATATATAATGCTGCTTCACAGTTTAGACAAAAATGGTTAGCTCTTACAATTCTGCATTCATCAACGCAAGCAACACAACATAGAGCTAATTTACACAACATCACCTTGCAAATTCATGCAGGGCTTTGCACAACACACCGGCTGGGTGTGTACACACTACAAAGGTGTTTAGATTCCACCCATAGATCATGCTGGGAGGGAACACACTACAGAGGTGTATACATGTTCGTGGTGTGTTTATAAGGTTAGTAAATCAACCCCCATGTGTCATCTTCTTCTTAAATGTACCTGTACCCCTGTATGTTGCGGTCTCTGAGGAAATCGTCCAAATGCTTTTTGAATGATTCAACGCTCTTAGCTGAAATCACTGTTTGTGGCAGCGAGTTCCATTCCCTGACCGCTCTTACTGAGACGAAGCCCCTACGCCCCTTGTGCTGAAATTTTTTCTCCACCAATTTTAGGTGGTGGCCTCTGGTCTTTGTTATGGAGGTTACTGTAAAGAGTTTATTGCTGATGTTGCTATCACCATTGAACATCTTGTACAAGAAAATCATATCCCCCCTTAATCTCCTCACCTCCAATGTGAACATGTTTAAATTTAGTAACCTTTAGTAAATTTAGTCCCATAGCTTTGGTCCCTTAATTAGTTTGGTTGCCCTCCTCTGGACTCTTTCCAGTTCAAGGACATCCTTTCTGTGGATTGGTGACCAAAACTGGACCGCCTACTTCAGATGAGGCCGAACCAGCGATCTATAAAGTGGCAAAATTATAGACTTGTCTCTACAGTACATTCCCTTTTTAATACAAGACAGTACTCTGCTCGCTTTGTTTACCGCAGCCTGGCAAGCTATTGTTCAATCTGTGGTCTACAATGACCCCCAAATCTTTTTCCATTTGGGAAGGAGTTCCCATTAATGTGTAATCTGCTTGCCTATTTTTACCCCAAAGTGCATTACTTTACATTTATCAACATTAAACCTCATCTGCCATATAGTTGCCCACTCGCCTATTTTGTTCAGGTCCTCCTGTAGTGTTATAATGTCTAAGTCCGTGTCTATTACCCTCCCGATTTTAGTGTCATCAGCAAACACGGAAACATGGCTATTTACTCCCTCCCTGATATCGTTAATAAACAGGTTGAATAGCATGGGGCCTAGCACAGATCCCTGGGGCACGCCGCTCATGACCCTAGACCAATCTGAAAGGGAGCCATTTATCGATACTCTCTGGACACGTTTCTGTAGCCAGTTTTCTATCCATGTACACACCATTTCATCTATGCCCATAGACCTCAGCTTGTGTAGTAAGCGTGTATGCGGTACCGTGTCAAATGCTTTTGAAAAATCCAGATGTACTACATCCACCAGCTTCCCTCTGTCCAGATCTCTACTTACCCCTTCGTAGAATGGGCGAGTTGTTACATGCTGCCTGGCTTCCCGATTGGCCGAGAAGCCGGGTCCATGCTTCCTCGTCACTGGGTGACGAGGGAGCATGAAAACGTCTTCCTGGCAAATCAGGAAGCCGGGCGGCAAGTCATTACATGCCTCCCGGATTTCTTAATGGGACTTTCGGTATCACCGAGTACCAAAGAAAAAATATCAGTACTCATACTCAATACCGAAAAACCAGTGTCTGTGCATCGCTAGTCAATACTGATCTTCTGGAATTGCTAGCTGTCTGGCCTTCATGTTAATCCTGTGACGTCATAGCCAGAACAAGCATGCAATCAGTGACGTTCGATTTAAAATCAGAACTCCTTACTTGTTTTGGGTGCCTAATGATCAACATGATGGTCAGGTAACTGGCATTTTCAGAAGAAGATATCAGCAGTAGCAGACACCAGTGTTACTCTCACTACAGGTTTCCTTTAATTCTTAAAGTTGTGTTTTGCTTGGCATATACCTTTTAACCCCCATATTGGGTGAGTGACCCATCAGTTCTCCATATGCCTCTAATCGCAATCGATTTTACTCTCTGGAGAGCAAAACCTTCCCCCGTTGCCAAAGGATGGTGCGAATCAGGGCAGAGCAGTAAACTCCAGAAGGAAGACCTTTGTGCTAGTGTCCAGGAGGAGCTATATGAAGTCTTGTGGGAATTCAACATAAGGCTTCTCTTCAATACTCTATATCTGTTTTAGATCTGTCTACTAGATCTAGTTCCAATATTAGCCATTGAAGATGGTTTTTCTACACAATTTGGGCCGCTTTTCTATCACAATTAATGATCTATGTTTGGGCCTAGATAATTGATCTCCTTTAAATAGTCTAAATTAACTTCTTAATCAAAAGTCTTCATGTTCATTACCTTTTTTTTATCTTTACCTTTGGCTTCTTGATATTTTTCTGTAGCTCCAGCCAGGAGTGTCTCTCCCAAGCCCGCAAGAACTGTTGGGAAGGATCCTAATAAAGAATAAGAAAAGGCATATAGTGGAGGTAAAGGGTCCTGAAGGCAGTGTGAAAAGAAGAGTCAGTGAACAACCATCCAATACTTACAGTGACTCCTCCAGCATCTGTGATGCACCAGCAGTAGGTATGGGACCACACTGTTTTTCTCCCACACTCTATCCAAAACCAGGATATAAACATTTTGGCAGGAGTTCAACTTTAAGGTAGGACAGTTGATGAGTAGGCAATTTGAGTTTTGAGGAACTGTCTCTTCCAAACTGCCCGCCTGTGGGGGCAAGTCTAATTGGATAGAGAAGAGAATTCTAGAGATCAGGGATTTCCTGAGAGAAGTCTTGTAGGCTCACCTGTACTGATGGTGTGAGTGAGGGGGACATTAGATTAGAATGGAGACAGCAGTTTAAAGAGACCCTATTGGCAGGCCAAAATTTAAACTGCAATCTTCCTATATGATTATATGTGCATTTAACATACTTTTTTGCATGTTATTTACCTGTAAAATCCTCCCTTGTGTAGACATCCAAAAGCCCAGAGACTTCTGCTGGGTGCCTCCCATCTTGTATATGATGTCAGTGTTCCAGCAGACTCAAAGCTGTCACTCAAGGAACACTCTATAGTATTCCCTTTGGCTTCTTCCCTGGCAGCTACATAAAAGGTTTTATATAGGAAGATGTCTAAGAAATTGACTCTTCCTGGAGCAGTCAAATTTCCTACCAAGTTCAAAGGCACATTGCAAGTGAATACAAAAATAATTGATGGAAAGGAAAAATTCTGTAAATAATCATTAAAATTCTTCATTTTCAGTGCTTTTACATGCATTTTATTAAGCTGGCAACAGGTTCTCTTTAAGGAGTATGTTTGTTGTCAACAATTCACCTCATTTTTTAAAAGTTTTGAAATCAAAGCATAAGAATTTTAATGCTATTTTAAGGTTTTGTGGAAGTCAATGACAGACTAGATAGGAGGATAACAGGCTTATAACAAGTGTTGCAGTGTTATGCATGACTGAGGTAGAGGTGAAAGTGATATTACTGGAAGACCACAGAAAGAATTGTTTGCCAAGAGTGTCTGTCACACACGATAGACTCACACATACAAATGATATCTTTTATGAGTGTAAACTCGTATTCATGAGAAGATTGATGAGGTTTCTGTACTGTGCAAATTGTTTTAACTTATAGATGGTTTTATATTTGTTAACTTTCTCACAATTACATATTCCATGTGCAGGTACTTTAAACAGTGACTCGGCTGATGTATCTCTGACACTATCGAATGGAGATGAACCAATGGAGGAGAAGATTCGCAAGTGTGTAGAGCCGCGGAAATCCATAGGTGAGATTCATGCTGTGACAGTAAAATCTATAATGGTAATATCTATAGTGATGTTTCTGCCTCTGTTCTGTACCACCACCCTTCCCTGTGCTCACTTCTTTTTGTTTCCTTGTTATCTTTAGACCGTGATGCTTATAGTGAAGAGGAGGAAGATGAAGAGCCCTCTGACCCTAAAAAGTCAGATGAAGTAAGTTCTGTAACCAAACAGCCTTTGTCTCCCTATCTACTGCTCTTACATACTTCTAATGTCTAAACTTTTATTTCAGGGTACTGCTAGCAGTGAAGTCAGTGCCACCGAAGAAATGTCCAATCTTGTTAACTACGTGGAACCTGTAAAGTTCAAGTCATTTGATGTGGCCAACAGTGAGTAGCTGAGGGATGGGGTTTGATAGGACTGCTATTGTCTCTGTCAAGTTAATGCATTAGACCAGCCTCTTTTGAATAGAGTTGGGAAGGGTTACCTCCCTGTCTGGTTTTAACTACTACCCAGGGCTGTATTGAAGAGATTTACTCTCAATTAATTTGCTGGTGACAAGGATTTTATTAGACAGGACCTGAGGGTGAACAGTAACATAGACAGAAATATGTTTTTTTTTAATTTAGCGGAGTTGGAGAGGGCTAGATCCCCTCTCAGCTTTTTATTGCTATTGAATGGCAGAACTAATACCTTGGCTTTATATGAAGGCCAAAAAACCAAAATGGAAATAAAGCTAGCTATACATGTAAATATTTATCTTGTTTAGCCAGAAAGCTGAACAAGAGAAATCACTTGATTCCCCATCCAGACTACACAGTGTGGATGGACAAATCTCCCCAACTGGCTATTATATGTTGACAGTTGGCACCCGCAGCGGTCAGAATACACAAACATTGACAGCAGCTGATTGCATTCAGTCATTGTTCGACTGATTTTTCAATCTAAGTTTGTTAATTGGTCGGTGTCAGCAGCACCACCTACGGCTCAAATTTTGGCCTATTCCTGTGAATTTGAGTTGCGTATGGCCAGCTTGGCACATTGATATCACTAGCGTAAGCACTGCTTGTTCTACAAAAAAAATATTTTATTTATTTCTCAATCAAAATTTTTTTTACATTGATAGGCTTTTTGCCCATAAAGTTCTTTTATTCATTACTCCTTGTTTCACAGCTTTTCATTGCGGTCTATGTTGTAGATTCTCACTTCCTGTCTGGTGAGGGAAAATCTCTCTAATGGAGCCCCAAATAGCAGTAAAAACCTGATGTGTTCCAATGCTTTCTTAGTCTATCTGCAAATAATAATAATAAAAACAGTTTTTTTCTGGGCACTTGAACTGCTGCAGTGTAAACCATTACGAAGCATATAAAAAAATCATTACATCTACTCTACCTTACCCTGTTCTTCGTACCCAACCTTTTGCCTTCCACCCCCCTCCCCAATACAAAGAGAGGAAAACAATGGAATCATCACTGGACCAAATATGTTCTTTAATGATGTTAAGTGAAATGAAGCTCGGATACAATATGTGATGTAAATATCTGTATTAATAGTACACATCAACTTTTACTCCATCAGTTTATATTAAAAGCTAAGTTTGCCTCTTGGACCATGTTTCCTAATACACCTATATTCAAGGTATGACATGAAATGTGGTCACAATCCCCTCCAGCTCCCCCACTTACCTGTATCATGGGGCTCTTCTCCCTGCAGGCTGCTGCTCTTTTTTTAATTTGGTGCGGCTGTGCACAGTTCCACCCACACAGCCCTGTCATCCATTCACAGATCTTTTCACAGGATCTGTAATTGGAGAGACTACAATTCCCATAATCCAAAACAGGGACTTGTCAATTATCAATGGAATATAAGTGCAGTAACCAGGTAACATCATTCTTCCTCTCATTAGTTACTAACAGGGCTATTCACTAAGGGGTGACTAGTTTGGAGAAGTCAGGAGAAGTGAACAATCTAGGACAACATAGCTGAACTGGAAAGTGAGCTGAATTGGATAATTTGTTCAAATCACGTCTTTTGGCCTAGAATGTTCACTTCTCCTGCCTTCTCCAAACTCTGCACCCTTTAGTAAATAGACCTGTAAATGTTCATACCTCGGTACAAACATGTACAGGAGGAAGAATCTGCAGTAGCCAGAGCATTGCACCCATGATTCACTGATCGCGGTTGCAATGCTTTACTGGATCCGATGCAAAAAAATCATAAATGAACATTTCTTTTATGAGGAAATGAAGAAGTGTGCATTTATTATTCTAGTCCAAAAAGTGAACTTTACCTTTGATTCCATACATTTTGCTTCTCTACAATGATTAATCTGCCTTGCATACTATGGAAGAGATATGTGTATCTGTTATCCTACATCTCTCCATGGTCTCCATGCAGTTATTTTCCTTGCTGATGTTTAGCCTAAATAAAGAATTTAAAAAAATCATCACTACAAAGCCTTATTCCTTTCTTTTTATACTAAAATGACCATAGAGCAGGATTATAGAATTTTAAAGGGCAATTGATATTTATAGCAAATATGTTATAGTTATAAGTAACTAGCTTATGATGTTTCCTTCTCTCTTTTTTTTCTTTTCTTCTCTGCTGCTGTCTGTTTACATACCGTTGTTATAACAACCTTGTCTTACCCTGTATCCCGCTTTATCTACATTTCTTTTTCTCACCACATTACTGTTTCTCCTTCCTTCCTCAGAGAGGAATAAATATTATGAAATGTCTTCATTTGTTGAGACTAAAGCACTGGAGCAGCTCACTAAATCTCCCATGGAGTTTGTAGAGTATCCTTTCTGCCACACTATAAAATTCAGTAAAGGGCTATACTGTACTAGCCATAGATTGCAGCAGAAATGTGACGATATAGGCCATAACTTTCATGGACTAACTAAATATTTTATAGTGCAAGTTTTTGAGAACACTCAGTACTTTTTATCAGGCATGGTAAGAGAGCACTATAAATATATTCAGCTAGACAATGAATAGTATGGGTGTATTTTCACTTTGCTACTTTTATATATTGCTCAGTTTTATTTTATAAGCCTCATTAAAAATGTAATTGCTGGAATTTTACTGGATACGCATGGCTCCATTTTCTTGCAATTTGTCTAGATATGCTGCAGCAACATGCCAGAAAAAGAAGCTTTGTTTTTACCAGCACTATCTAGTAAGTTGTTAGAAATTAATTGACATAAAATTAACTATATTAGCAAACTAAAATATGTTTCCTTGGAACATAATATTGTTCTTAAAGCTGAACTTTAGGCAGAGTTTGTTGTCATTTCTGGTATATAAAAAAGTTATTTCTAATGACGTTTATTTCACATCTAAATTGCTGCTCTATAGTGTAAAATTCACCCGTTCATTATTAATGAATAGTAATATTTCCAGCCCCGTGCGACTATGAGAGCTGCACGGAAGCACTAGTGCCATTCCCCAACACCCCCCCTTCCTATTTGTCTATTCACAGAATGCCTTGTATTCTGTGTAACTTTCAATTGAATGATATGCTGTACGTTTCCTGACCGAACACATTTATAATGTACATGTTACCTGAATGCAGCTACAAGGTGACATTACTTGGCTGAATCATGAGCATAGTGGTATCAGCCAGTGCATAAATGCATCAACGGTTGGATGTTGCTTGCACTTCTACCTAACACAACGGACAGATAAATCTGAAACATATGCAAGAAGAGAAAAATACTGGCCAGGATTTATGCTTACCGTTAGGAACCTCTGTATGTCCAATTCTAGCTCAGCTGTCCTAAGCAGTGCTTAGATTATGCACATGACTTGCAAAGATCAGGCCCTTTATGGGCAGCTTCAAGTCTTTTAAAGCTCTATAAATCATTCCTGGCTTGCATACTGAATGAATAGTGTTCTGTAAGAGGTTACAACTCATTTACAGTCACTACTGTCTGTCTCAAGCCCTCAAGTATTGAGGGGGAGGTGCAAGATACCCAGTGTAAATGGTCCATGGCTGGCCACAGTTGGGTTGCTGGCTATCCTTCAGGAGAAATCAACAATAATGTGCAAGGAGCTTATTTATAGAAATTGTTGGTAGGAGAACCGAAATCCTGCTGAAACTGGTATTGTTGTCTTTTATATACTAAGCGCTTTAAAGATAATTAGATAAATCTGCTGGTAAAACAGAAACACCTTTTATTAACAAGATGTATCTTCTATAACTAGTAATAAGTATCTTTCTTAGACCATCATCAAACTCTGCCTCTATATACTTTCAAAGCTTCCTTCTCTCATGTTAACTCTGCTAAATATTTGCCTTTCTGACCATTTTTAAACCACGTTGACTTCTTATTTGACACTCTGTATGTATCATCCAATTTTTCTACCTGCATTCCCTTTTATTAACAATCTCTGTCTTCCACCTCTGTTATGTGCCCCATTATTCATCCATCTACCGTAGCTGCCCCCCGTCTTGTCTATCCATGTTTTTTCTCCTAACTCCCCTCCTATCAGATATAACAAGAAGCAGCTAAGCCGTATCTACCCGAAAGGAACCAGAGTGGATTCTTCTAATTACATGCCACAGGTTTTCTGGAATGCAGGATGTCAGATGGCGGCATTGAATTTTCAAACACTGGGTAAGCATTTCAGCACAGATGACCCACTAGTAGTCATTTAAATTGTAATATTCATAATAGGAGGATGACGTGCTTTATGGAGTTGTTTTTTTATAGAGTTGTAGCTGATGACAAGAGGATTTCTTGTACTTTGCTGCAGAATGTTTGTGTTTCAGTATAGGGAAGGACTGACACCCTTTATAGTGCTGTGAGGCCAGCTTCACATCCGTGCGCTGTATGAATGCTGAAGGTGGGAAGACATCGCTATACCATAACATAATCTTCCATTGTGCTACAGATGTCTAAGCAGACAGCCCATGTACACAATAACATTTTTCTTGTACGTCATAGTTTCTTCCTTTATAGATGAGTAATGAGGTCCGCTTCACATACAACTGGTGCATAAATGCAGATGATGGGGCAATATCAACATACCACACAAAGGGGTCAATTCACAATCTTATTTTCTTCATTTTGGCTGTTATTTCATTGATATCGCTTGTTATATAGTTGCTGTGTAACGGTAGTCAATTCACAAAACTTAATAACGCTTCTTATTTTTAGGAAGCAGTAAATTAACTATTCAGACGTTATTCTAACTATTCAGAGGTTTTTTTAACAACTGGAGTGATAAAATATGCTTGAAATGCAATTCACAAAAGGAAAAAGTTCCTTTTATCACTCGTTTTTGAGACGTAGATTTATCACCTCCTTCAGGGTGGTGTTATGACAGATTTCAGGCGTTATCTCATGCTTGCTGCACTGAGATGACATGAGGTAGATAGAATTGGAACCTTTTTTCTTCATTTTCACATTGCTTAATGCTTTTGCATACAGAATAAGAAGGTGACATTTAGTTGTCATTTCTACAGTTTATATCCTTCTACAAATGTGGATGATTTTTTACAGTTAGAGGTTAGTGGCAAATCTCACATGACACGAAAAAAACAAATGTCCCTGAACACTCTTCAGTGGGGTTGTAGAGCAAGTGGATTGTTCCATGCAACAAATATAATATCAAAACAGGCTTTAGGTGGTAAGGAGAATTGCTTGCCCTCCCTACACTGTCTGATTGTCAACAGATGTAGATCTAAATAAATCTAATGTTTCATATATTCATTCCATTCAGAAAATATTTTATTGTTATTTCTATATGATTTCTTCTCTGCTAAATTTAAAATTAGTATGCATGTGGCAAATATGGAATATATTTCTTCCTCATATGTGGAATTATTTTGTGTAGTGAAAGTGAAAGTAACTGTCATCTAGGCATCTGCTTCACCCCTTTTGCTACCAAAATGCACTGCACAAGTGTTAAACTAACACCCAAAACTTTATTTTATCACATTAATAGATAAAAGTCTGTGATGCTAAAATCACACTTGTTTAAGGAACGTTAAACTGCGTGTGCATTCACGATTCCTACTTTTGTGAATGTTTCAGCCAGTAAAATAAAGAGTGGTAAAATAAGGATAGATAAATTAACTTCTGCTCTCATAACGCTGAGCTTTGTGAATTGACCCCAAATTGGGCTACAGATGTCTATGGTGACACCTCATCTGCACAACAAATATTTTTCTTAAACTTCATAGCGGTGTATGAAGAAAAAAGAATCAACAAAAAAGCTTGCATATAAACTCAACTCACTGACTCACAATGTTCTATAATATTATTGTTGGACAACAGTTTGTTTATTAGCTTAAGGTGTTTGTAATACATTTGTTAATTTGCATCATGAAAAAAACTTAAAATGCTGCTATGTTGTCAATAATGCATTATTAAATGTATTTTAAATATGCAAGCAAGGTAAGTACCTCAATTTTACTTCGTATCAGACTCTTGCAGTCTATTCTACAGTATGTACATCAGAGCTAAGAGAGGGGAACGGAGAAGCACCAGGAGGAACCAGTCAGGTGTGTGTGAGAGGTAGTATCAAGGTTACAAAATCGAGCTTTATCCTCTTCCTCCACCGTGTTTCTTCACATAGTGCCTCCTGTGTCCTAGCACCGTGAAATGGACCTCCTTTTAGCCACTCAGGGATTGCTGACTCAAAGGGTTATTGTTTATGTTCCACCAACTGAAATGTTTCTAGGTTTACAGTTCCAAAACCCAAATCAGTTACATTGGCCTTGTCTTAAAGCACTAAAAACAGTAAAAATCCCTCAGCGCATTAAAACCATGGTTCCAAAGGGAGAGAGGTACTTGATGTTGTTGGTATTGCACTGTTGTATACAAGCAGAGGAAAACGAGCTGTAGCGATAATGAAAAAACAAGACAAGAGTGCAACAACCTTCTGCGTTATGTAAGTGACACCAGAGGGGTAATGTATGCACTCACAAAAGTCCAGAAATGCCAGCATATATATCAGCTGCAGGTGTCCCACACAAAACAATCTGGGACAATCATCAGTTTAGGAGGTATGTGGAAACATCGCTCTAAATTAAAAATGTGAAACTGAGAAACACAAAAACAAACCAGGAGCTCCTGGTAGTGTAATAAAAGAGTAAAAAGATTTTATTAAAAATAAAAGCATAAAATGCACTCACAGCAGTGGCAGGTATAGATGGCCTTGAACCGTGGAAGTGCACTGGTTGTCCTTAAGCCTGTCCTGACTATCAGGTGGAAGGGAAACTGTCAACTCAGCACTTCTACTCAGTTCAGGTGTCGGTGGAATAGGCAATACTGTATATCGTCAATGTTGGTGAGATGTGCTGGTGGAGCAGTACTACTGATGTGCTGAGTGGACTTCCTCAATCAATATACAACAGAGTGGAGTCAGTTAGCATTCTGCAGAGTCGTTGGTGGCGCGGTTTCCCACGGCTGTGAGGAATTCCAGGTGTTCACTTCCAGGTTCGGGTAATTGTGGCAACGAGTTTGCTGTCTGCCTCTTTCTCAAGCCTCATTCTGAAGCAGAAGGCAAAGAGGCTTGGCAAAGAGGCAGCTCGCTATGAGGCATGTAGACATAGGAATGCCTAGGCACCCTAAAATACTAGGAAAAGCTCTGCTATCTTCACAAACAATTTCAAGACTAAATGTAAATCTTTCAGGCACAATTAAAACTTCTTGATGTTTCCTTCAACAACTCTTTACTTTTGAAATTCCGATACTTTTAGTTTAAAGTGAATTTTGATTGATTGCTATTGGGCAGCACTGTGGCGTAGTGGTTAGCGCTTCTGCCTTGCAGCACTAGGGGTTCGAATCCCGGCCAAGTCACTATCTGCAAGGAGTTTGCATGTTCTCCCTGTGCTTGTGTGGGTTTCCTCCGGGTACTCTGGTTTCCTCCCACACTCCAAAGACATGCTGGAGGGTTAATTGGCTCCTCTCTAAGTTGGCCCTCTATGTATGCATGTGAGATAAGGACCTTAGATTGTAAGCTCCTTGAGGGTAGGGACTGATGTGAATTTGCAACTATGTAAAATCCTGCGTAAATTGTCGGCGCTATATAAATACCTGTAATAAATAAATAAAATAAATTGGCTACAAGTTAAACCACATTACCTCATTTGTTTGTAATCAGGGATCAGATTGATTGGTACAAAGCGAAGGAAAGCAGTGTTTATTATTATTAGTGCTACTCTTATCTATAAAGCAGAGATTTATTGTATGTGCATAAACACAACCTAACTAGATTATATATAAATCATCTACAAATATTTGGCACTAGAACTTTATTTGATTACACATGTTCATGCATTACACAATTCATTCTTAAATATTGTGTCTAAAGTTGTGCTTGTTTTCCCTGCAGACCTGGCAATGCAGTTGAATATGGGGATATTTGAATATAACCGGCGCAGTGGGTACCTCCTAAAGCCAGAATTCATGCGTAGGACAGATAAGCCTTTTGATCCTTTCACAGAAAACATTGTTGATGGGATTGTGGCAAATACTGTAAAAATTAAGGTGAGAGGGCAGCAGAGACTTGGAGGGAAGTAGAATGGAGAGGGCTAATTTTGCAGTCTCAGTCCTAACTGTTTTTGTCTTTCCTCCCAGATTATCTCAGGTCAGTTCCTGTCTGATAAACGTGTTGGAATATATGTAGAGGTTGATATGTTTGGTTTGCCTGTTGACACAAAAAGAAAGTATAGGACAAAAACTTCCCAAGGAAACTCCTTTAACCCTGTGTGGGACGAGGAGCCATTTGAATTTGCGAAGGTATGGACCTTTGAGGACTGCCTTGCTTAAATTTCTGCTCTCCAGTCTTTCTTTATAACCATGTTCCACTTTTACTGTATAATTTCATACAAGCTGCTTTGTCTAGTTTTCAGTCCTCCCTGATATTCTTACACGCATCCCCTCTAGGTGGTGTTACCTACTCTGGCCTCTCTTCGCATTGCTGTGTTTGAGGAAGGTGGAAAATTTGTTGGTCACAGGATACTGCCAGTGTCTGCAATACGACCAGGTGAGGCATGAAGACAGGGGTAATAGGGACAGGGATAATTTGTACTGTGGACCTCGGGTTGTTTACAGTGCATGGGCTGCTCTTCTGGTTTAATGGAGTAATGTATAAAAATCAGTGCACACAGACATCTATGTTTTGCTTCTAACATGCGCCTGCGAAGCATGCTGCAGTGTTTACATTTTGAACTGAATTTATATTTTTTGCATATTCCATATAAAATGGTAAAAGATAATACCAAAAACATGGAGTGTTCATGGAGTGTGTATATGTATGATATTTTCATAGCCTTAAAGGAAACCTTTAATAAGAAGAATTAGCAGCATTGGAGTGTTGTACTTGTGTAAGCCATCGACAAAGTAAAAGTTTAAATTTAGGATCATATCATTTATTGGCTAACTAAATAGGTTAGAGTGTAAGCTTTTGAAGAACAGGCCAACATGCCTTGAAAGCTTGCACTACGATCTATTTAGCTGGTCAATAAATGGTATCATTCTAAATGCAAACTTCTACAATGTGAAGAAATAAAAGACCTGCCATTAAAAAATCACCTTCTGAAAATACAAGTATAATCCACCTTCGCATGAAGGTGTGACTTGTCGAAGCAGCATTATTCATTCACAAATACTCGTTGATGGATCACATTTATGAATATTAGAGGTGTCTGTGTCCTGGCTGCCTAAAACACTGATCACTTGACACAGGTCCTCCATCAAGGAAAGCAGGAAGATAAGCTGTTTGAGGTGGTGACACAATATGAGATAAAATGATTTGAGAAAAAGCTTTTTAAAAAGTTAATCTTATGTACACAGATAAGGATTAAAAACACATAAGCAATACTTATGTTTGTGAATTAAACAATTTTAGGGCAAAATTATGATCATAGAAAATGAATGGCATTATAATAACTCATCAATCTTAGTGAATTGAACCTCTTAGGCTAGGTTCACATGGGAGGCAGACTTTACTGCCCTCTGAAAATCAATCCATGTTTTCAGAAGGCGGTTGCTGGGCAATTGATAGCTGGCTCAGTTGCAATACTGCTGCCTCTTGAATGTAGTTTTTTTGATCTCATGAGGATTTGGCATAGCAACAGAGCAAATTACATTAAATTTGCTGCAGCACAAAGCATTGCAACAGCATGTACAAACCCAAGAGGCCACCATGTTAGGTTTTGGGGACGGTAAAAACTCAGATAAACTGCCTGTTTTTACCATCTGTGTGAACAAGGCCTATGGTTTCGGCTTCTCCTCTGCTCCTTTTCCTTAGTACTCTGTACATACCTATTGTAACTGACCATGTTTTATTTTCTTGATTGATAACCTGTGCAGTAATGTTTGTGAATTTACTTTAGACTTATTTTATAATCAATTCACAAAGCTAGCACACCAGAATAAGAATGCATGTTTTTTTTAAAAAGTGACAGGAAGTAGGATGGGGGGGGGGTCTTTAGGTATTTTATCACGGTCTAATGTCTAATTTACCCCAAGAGTCAAGTGTCTCACAAATGGTGCCTGTTTTGACAGAAGATTCCATTTTTTATTTTCACCTTGGTAGACGACAGCCAGGGAAAATCAGAAAACAAACGTTCTGTTCTTTTGCCCCGATCTTTCGATTTTTTATTGTAAATCTCCTGATTAATCTTTTATTTTTCTGTCAGGTTATCACTACATCTGTCTAAGGAATGAAATTAATCAGCCTCTGTGTCTCCCGGCTTTGCTTGTCTACACAGAAGTAAATGACTATATTCCTGATAACCACCAAGGTCAGTGATAACACATCCTATTTCAGATGCCTATTATATGTTTTCTTCTTCATCCTTTCACCTGTGACCTTTGACTCATATCTTTGAGAGTTCTAATATAATTTATCATTGTTCACTTTGTCTTCTTCCATGTAATAATGACCACTAACTTCATCCCCCACAGAGTACATCAAAGCTCTGATGTTCCCCACCCAACATGTCAGTCTGGATGAGAGGGCCAAGAAACTTGTGGCTCTGATTGGAGACACCGAGGTACAGCAACCACCAGACAATCATGAGATCCATACAGTTATAATAAAAGCACTGGGCATATTCAGTGATGCAATATGTAATTTGCAGTATTCTATGACAACCAATCAGAAATTTTATTTCACTCAGCTGACTTTAGCTACCTGAAATCTGATTGGCTGCTCGGGATTACTCAGTATGCACATTAGCAATTCTTTATTATTAAAGGGTCAGTCTACCCAAGATTGATATTTTAGTTTTTGGAGGAGTCTGGTGTGCTAAGTTAGCCCCTGGCTTTGTTAAAAGCTTGAATTATCTGCCTGCTATAGTTCTTAATGCTGTTGGTGTTCCTGCCTACTTTTGCATAGTCCAGAAAATGATGTTGCTCAATCGTGTAAAATAAACATTTCAACGTGGATTGTGGGACCCCTTCATAGGGCCATAGATTGTATGCAGACCCAAGAACTGAAATTCAGAGATCTCAGTGATAGGGCCACAGAAAGACATTAAAAAAGTGTTAGGTGGTTTAACTCTCCAGCATCTGACGTAAACAGAAATATTAGTTTTCGATGGACTGACCCTTAAAATAAGCTCCTTAGTGGCTAGCATGATCATATCTAGAGAGACAAAATGGCCCATATTTTGAGAGACATTTGACCCTTAATGTATGTATTGCTTTTCTCATGTACACTAGTGTCTGAGTCCACTCTGTGGACTATAGTGTTGCTGCTTTACAGAATGTGTTCACTGTATGATCTGTACTCTTGCCATATATACTAGTGCTGAACTTTATAGTCAAGGACACATCCACTTAACTCTGTAACATTGCGGACTGTAGTAACACTCATTACCTGTTTTTTCAGACATTATTATTATTATACAGGATTTATATAGCGCCAACAGTTTGCGCAGCGCTTTACAATATAAGGAAGACATTACAATCACAATACAATTCAAGACACAATGGTAAGGAGGGCCCTTGCCGTGAGGGCTTACAATCTAAAAGGGAGGGGCAAGTGATACATGAGGAGGTAGCTGTGTGGGGATACATTGTTTGAGAAAGTGATCATTCGGTGGTTAGTTTGATCTGGGATAGGCTTCCCTAAAGAGATGAGTCTTAAGGGATCGCCTAAAGGGAGTCAGAGTAGGAGATAGATGGACAGGTTGGGGTAAAGAGTTCCATAGGATGGGAGAGACTAGTGAAGTCCATGGTCATGGACATAATGCACATTGAGCTCAAAGCACACTATAAGCTCATAAACGCAATAAAAGCATTCACCAGCTACTCTGATGGTGGCTCACAAACATACATACACACCCCCATTTATAAACATAAGAATCACCCGTCTTAACAATCTGCACATAAAGTCAACATTGAAATGAAAAACTAAACAAAAATCAATTGTTGTCTCTTCAGATACCGGTTGACTGCAGGAGACCTGTTATCTGTATTCTGCAGGCTATCTGTAAAATGACCAATGCTTCCATCCTAATCAAGCCATGTTTGGGCACTCCGTAGAGTCACTACATTTTCACTGCAAACCAATAAAATAAATTAATCTTTCAATTTAAATCCTTTGGGGGGAATTTATCAAAACTGGAGCAGACAGAATCTTTAGCAGTTGCCCATGTCAAGCAATCAGCTTCTCTCTTCAGTTTGTTCAGTTAAGCTTTGAAAATGAAAGACAGAAGCTGCTCCAGATTCCATCTTCTTCAGTTTTGATAAATTCCCCCATTGTGTTGATTATCATGAACACGCATGCAATTTCTCTGAATGTTCTGAAGGATAACTATAATCTATTTTTCAAAGGATAAACGTTTATAAATGGGGGGGGGTGGATGTATGTATGTATTTTTTTTTACACTGTAAGATTTAATACAGGGTGTCTGCATGATGTTTGCACAGCATGCTAGACTTTCCCATGAGAAAGCCCACCACTGCTTCTATGAAAACACAAGAGCACAATAACCTTAGTGATAAGTGTAGTAGAGACTGCCTGTCTCTATGTCCGGAAACAGAAAAAAAGACTTACTTGTGGGTCCTAGGTACTGGGCAAGAGGTGGTCCCGGTGGAGGATTGAGTTGTCCGATGTGTGGTCCTTCTCTATGCTGATGTATGGAGTGCAGCCGGTGGACACCAAATGCAGATGGAATATGTAGATGGGTCAAGTCTGATATCCTACTGTTCAGTTCTGTTCTCAGCATACAAATCAATTAACACTTTAACATGCTTCAGCACAAGCCTTGTAGTCCTTACCTGAACAATTTAAAAACATTTCAAAATGATTTTTTTTATAGTCTTGCAAAGTCCTTCAAAACTATTTTCAGTATGACAATTCTACTTAAATATTGTCCATTTGATTCATGTTTTGGCTGTGTGTAGGGTGAGGCAAGCTGGGAATTGTAGATTTATAGCAAGTGGGATCCATTATCAAGCTTTATTACTAGGTCACGGGCTCACTACAGTCTTCAAAAGAAAGGCCTTTAAGAAAACATCCAGAAATAACACACTTCTGTATCTATTGTAGCCCAGCAACACAGAGAAACCACAAGAAAAGAAAAAGACTGAAATAGCAAGTGTCACTCCTCAGATACCTACAGGTATCAAGAAGCAATCAATTACACCGCTATCCCCTATAGGTATGTCATGACACCTTCCTTTACTTACTTTGCTGCTGTGCACACAATCACAGTGGACATATTGCATTGCTTTTTTCATGAGGTCAGGTACAGACTGTCCTTATTTTTATAACAAAGTGATTTGTTCTTAAATGATTACTCAATGTTTTCAAAAACTGTTCAAACAGTGCAATAGATTTTATTACATATTCTAAATGTTTATCTGCATGTCTCCTATTACATTTGCCTAGTCCTCTGCTGCCCCCTGGTGTTCAAGTTAAAATGTTTAAAGTGCTTCTAGGAAAGAAAATATGCCCCCTTGCTAGAACAGAAATCAAGCTTTGTACATAGTCATAAGTAATGAGGTAGATAACCTGGAGACAATTATGTTTGGCAATCTTCAGTATTACCTGTTGGACTCAGTAGGTATCTCTGGACATATACCAGAGGTTTTGAATCTGCCAAGTACAATGATGAAATTAATATAATTGGGGGGAATGTATGAATGCATCTGCATGTATTGAAAAGATGTTGCATTTCCGTTCTATGTGCGTTTTTGCCGCACAGAGAAATTTATTTGGCGGTGCTCTGCTTTTTAGTGATGCGGCTTTTTCCACCTTGTGTCTGTTCACGACATGCGAATACAGCACTATTTTAGCATGATAATTTCCAGAGCTGAAAGTCTGCAACTGAAATCTCTGCCATTCAGTCACAAACGTTAGATGTGCTCTTGATCTCTTAAATTGCTGCAAAGAAAATAAAAAGCTATAGGATTAAACTTGCTAACAAAGATAGTAATTAGCGTTAGTTGGAAATGTAAACTGCATGAATGGGACAAATGTATCCACAGAGCTGCTGGGACTGCAGCTTAATTGTCTGTCAGTCTGTAAATGATCTCTTTCAAGACATGAATATTATCCTGGAAAGTCAGCCGCAGACATTAGTAGCTACATTTGGAGAATCCCTGAAGAGCTACAGTGTCAGCAGCCCAGTGGATACATTTGTTTCATTTTCATGTCTGGGAAGAGCGGATATAGAGTGACAGCAAACTAGCTAGAGTGTCAGCAGCCCAATGGATACATTTGTTTGACTGTCTATGTCTCAGAAAAGATTGTGCACAGACTGAGAGGTTGGATGGGAAGGGGGTTTAACACCGCGGATGTCAACTGGTTAAAGTGACCCAAAAGTCAGGAGTTATATCTTAAAAATGCATTCAAGTACCCTATTAACAAAAATGTACCTTATGTATCACTCGGCCATAGATCCTCAATTCATCTCTGAATTCATGCCGATGCTGTCCTTCCTTCTGGAGGGTGGCTACCATTGGTCCCCATGGTCCTAGTGTGTGTTGTAAAGTAGCTACCACTCCAAGCTCGCTCCTGTGATGCACTACAATCTCAATACAAGTTAGTAAACTAAATGTGAAATTGTAGTCCATCACAGAGGTGAGCTTGGAGTGGTGTCTACTTTACAACACACACCAAAGTAGCCACCCTCCAGAAAGAAGGACAGTGTCCGCACCAACTCAGAGATGATTTAAGGATCTACAGCTAAATGATAGACAAATAATGATACATAAATAAGATTGTTAATAGTTAAGGTGCATGAATGCATTTTTAAGATTTATCTCCTGAGTTTAGTGTCACTTTAAACTGCAGTCTGCAACAGTATTCTTAGTTGCAATATTGCTACAATAGTAACTCAGTAAGTCACAATATGTGAATGAATTGATGACGCCGACTGTTTAAAGAAATACAGAGGATGTGAAAGGATTGATAAATTCCCCCTTTGTGTCCTCTAGTAATCATTTTGCTATACACTTTCAAACAAGGTCTTTGAGGATTTATAGTAGGATCAAGGACATATGGGCTTTCTTATATGTCTAATGTCAAGCAGCTTAAAATGCATCTATGTGAACTCTATAATATAAACCCTGCAGCTCCCAGGGCCTGAATACATGTTTGGATTGGCAGCATTGTGGAAGGGCATGATTGGCCCACAGTACATAACTTCCACAGTCTGATTTCTGCTGTGAAGGAGATTGTAGGATGAGTTATGATCCATTTTAGCCAATTGTTTTAGCAGTATAAGGTGGTGTTTTCTACTAGTAACTGTGTGCCCATTCCCCTGAATTGGTCATTTGGAATGGTGGCATTCAATTACTTTTCAACTTAGGTTTTCAAGATATTGGCATAGCAGTTAAAGTCGAGGCGCTCTGGCCATCCATGTTGCAATTTGATTTTGAAATCTTCTGCGTTTTGATGAGATTTTACAGCGACAGAAAGGGGTCACATACCTGCTATCGCTTCTATAAAACCTGTAGGAGGTTGTATGAAATATAAATTGGGGAAAAAATTTGCTGGACCAAAGTAAATTTCAAAGCTGGGTACAAATGTTACAGTCTCATCTACAATCTACTTTAGATTTACAAACAACTGTAAAGTACAACAAAAATCTAATGGTTTGTAAAGAGAGAGATCCTCATAGTTGTTGGTGAATCTAAAGGAACTTACACAGTGATTGTAACATGTGGCCATTCATGTGGTAGCCTAAAGGTGCCCATACACTTCACAATTAGCGTTTAATTTATCTTGTCCCGTCATCGCACCCTGGTTCAATTTTTGCTCAAATAGACCATCATGCACAGACCAATGTAGATTTCGTCAATCGACAGAACAGATTTTCGTTTGCACATGTGCAGTGTTCAAGTTGTGATTTTTGTTTTTCCGGATGAAAACGCCAATAATCGATCGATTTTCATACAATTTGAAAGAAGTTTTCTAGTCTTCCCGATAGACGAAATTCGGCCAGTTGTACAGTAATTGTGATCGTTGACTTCCCAACAACTGGGCGATTATCGTACGAAAAAATGATTAATTGGTTAATCAAAAACTGAATGTTCAGCAAACCAAAGAGAAGTATCCTGTCTCTTTAACAGCAGCCTTCACTAGAAACACCCAAATCATAGGAGGTGGGGGGGTGGCTGTCTACGTTTGATGGTTAGGTGTATATAAAGATTTGTCCATATAGTGTATATATCTTTCATGCATATTCCTGACCCTTCTATGATGAATCTGTATTCATGCATTCTTTTTAACCCCTGTCTTCTACAGTTCACCGGGATGACCTCATAGCAAGTGTACTAACAGGTAACTGCATATGAAAGGACGTTACAATCTTTATTTTAACTGGAAAGAAAAGTTATCAGCTTGTATGTCAACCACTTATCAGCATAGCAGAGTTGTAATATCAAAGAGGAAAGAGTTAAAACGTGGCATTTCACAGAGGGGGCTGTTCATTGATTCACAGCCCACAGCTCATTATATCGTACGTTTTTTTAATCCCTTTACAACCATCGCAAGACTAAAGTCTTGCGATGGTTGTAGAGTGTATGGCCACCTTTAGGGAGAACATTTTCAGCCTTCAGCTCATTAATCTCTAAGGGAGAGCAGAATACAGTTTTGAATGATCAAATTTCTGCTTCATAATAAATCAAAATTCTGATTTCAAAGAAAAATTTGGAGCTTGCATGCCAGTAAGTCCTATCCAGACCAGCAGTTTCAAATTTTAAGGATGATCTATATAAAATGTTTACTCTTTCCAGTAGTTCATAGAGGAGTTCAGTGACTTGTTTCCGCCCTCAGCTTATTACCTTCTATGGGGGTGCACAATACACTTGAGTCCCAAGCGCCAATTTAAAATGGCATGAGGCCGTGGCTGTATGTGTCAGTGCCAGCACTAAGCCCAGGTGCCGAGATGATCAGCTCCTGGGCTTCAGATTCCTCTACAGATCGCTCTACAGAAGTTAATATAAACACAATGAAGGGAATTTATCAAAACTGGAGCAGACAAAATCTGGAGCAGCTGTGCATGCCAACCAATGGGCTTCTCTATTTCATTTTAAAATCTTAACTGAAGAGAGAAGCTGATTGGTTGCCATGGGAAACTGCTCCAGTTTCTGTCTGCACCAGTTTTGATAAATTCCCCCCACAGTTTACATATTTCTAGCAAACTTTTGCATAAAAACATGGATTCTTGGTTTTCATATGTGTCATGTTCAAGCTGACCAACTGTTTCAAAGTGATCTCTGGCCAGTCCCTACTTTACTGTGTGAAAAGCCAAATACTCCCTTGCTTAAAGCATGCTTTATTAGACATATGGTGCCAATATTGGACAGACAGACAGACAGACAGTTGGTGGAGAGCTACAGACCCAAGTCTGGTCACAGTCCTGCACTGTCCAATATATAGAAATGAAAAGATGTCTTTGCTTAATTTCAAATATAACAATAACATGAGGTGCTACAGAGAGGATTAATTCAGAATCATTACTACAAGAATTCTATGAGTATCAATGCTATGGAAGCACATTCCATATCAACTAACTCAGCTGGGGTGATTTTAGCTGAGAATTTTAAGAGCTGAGAATTTTAACAGACTCCTGCATAGCCTTCTTCATTAAGTAAAGGTTGGACTGGATTAGGTAACAGTCTGGCGACACAATGACCACAGCAAGATGACATTTAGGAGGGACAGTTGAACAGGGAGGTAAGGAAACCTGCTCCCAATATTGTTCTCCCTCTCCAGTATAAGTTGCATTGACTCACTACTCCTACCCATAACTTCAAAAAGGATGCTCCAAGCAGTCATATTTGCGTGTGGGGCTGTGGAAGCAGTGTCAATTGTTGCCCAGGAAAGACAGAAAAAAACACAATCACTGGTAATCACATTTCAAGATGGCTACTACTAGTGCTATTTGCATAATGGTACCTAAAGGATTTCGGTCCCATCTCATCACCGCCTTGTTTGTTTGAATAAAAGGAGAATAAATGTTAAAAAGATTCATTTTTACGTAGGGGCTGCAGGAGCAAGCTTGCTACCGTTACAGATATAAAGGAATTGTGACCTAGGTTTATGGATTTGCATTCTTTTTAACAATATTAGATGTACAAGCACCATCCCTGGAGGAGCTCAAGTTACAGAAAAGCTTTGTGAAGTTACTTTGTCGACAGTACCGAGAATTACGCCACATGCACCGCAAGCACCTGCGCAAAGTGTCCTCCCTGTCCAAGGAGCAGAACAGCCGATTCATACAGCTGCAGAGCATACGAAAGAAGAGATTCGGAAAAAGTCTAAAAGGCGGACCAGAGTAAGTATTGCCAGCCGAACTTTTACCGGACCACTGATGTTTTGTCAAGCTGAAATGATATCAGTTTGGAGTCTTAGATCAGTGCCGTGACAGGATCGAGAAGTGAGCGAACGCCGGTATGTGTTCACTCACCTCCCGATCTACTGAGCCGACCTGTGACAGTCTCAGTGTCACAGGTCGTCTAGAACTATGAGGTGAGTGAAAAGCACTAACCTCATAGTTCTCCTTTAAAGGAGAACCCTGGGCATATGAAATCTTATCCCTTGCAGTGTGGTTACCCCAACACTGCAAAGGGTTAAGTGCTCGTTTTCATCTAGGGAGCTAAAATAACAAAGATATACTCACTGGAAATGTGGACCTGGGTGGCTGCTAGACCAGTCCCTGCAGCCTCTTTTCCCCTGTAGTCTCTGTCTGGTGATGGAATGTGCCTTGGTGTCCTCGCGTCCAATGCACTGTATTGGACTTGATGACTCACGGGTTCTTAGACTGCCAGAGTGGAGGGTGAGCAAGACTGCAGGAACTGGTCTAGCCAAGTTTTAGGTGAGTATATCTTTGTTATTTTAGCTCCCTAGAGAAAACGAGCATTTAACCCTTGCATTGTAGGGTACCCCTACTGGAAGGGTTAATATTACATATGCCCAGAGTTCGGCTGTAATAATCGCAGGTAATGTAACTGGAGCAAAGGTGACATTTGTATTTTATTTCATTTTAAAATGTATGTGTGTATATATATTTATATTTTTATATATATATATAAAACATAGTTTTATTCAAGCCAGATACTACTTTCAGCACCGAATTTCCAGCACTGCAGTTTAGAGCTGCCCCTCTCATACATTGAAGGGATCCTGCTGTTTACCCTCCATTTCCTCTTCCCTGTTGACTCGCAAAACTTCTTGGATCCCGTTCACAGAATACAATGCGTTTTGTGAATGGATAAGTGGAGATCAGGTTTTTTAACTGCCCTTCTTCTCCCTTTGTCCATTCACAGAACGCCATATTCTGTGAATGCAGCAGCCATCCAGACCTAGGACATTCATCATTAGAGGTAACTTTTTTTGTGCACAGCAGAAAAAAGTTTTTTGGTAATTCTCCTTGAAGTTCTGCTCTAAGCAATCATACCAAATTCTGACCCTGCTATATGCATGCTTCTGCATATTTTTAGGTATGCAGCTTTGGTGATCCCATGTTTTTTATAGCCTTATGTTCTTGCCCTTAGCGGATAGGAGATGTGTCTAGCCTTGTCTTCTACCATAGGCCATCATCTACATCTACAGTCAACAAATATTCAGGGATGTACTGCTGCACCATACAGTTGCAAATTACCTTTCATCAGTTGAAAACTTGCTGTCAGCATGAAAGTCTGCCCATTCTCCCCTCTAATTTTCACCCAAAGAACTGACACTGTATACTATTTTGCACCATTATTTGTGAATTCTGCATGATGTTGTGTGTGAGCATGTACTGAGATGTACTTGATTACATTTACTTAGAATACATATGCTTTTTATTGTAATGTTTTGTTAAACAATTGAACCTTTTTACTCTGTCTGCATTCTTCATAGAATGAGTTGCCATCACATGATTTTCTGTTTGGCTAATAGTGTTAATGAGTTGGTGTATCTAATTAAGTGCCACTTAGTGCATAAGTGTGTATGATTAGCATGTCTCCAGCTTAATATAGTGTGTTAGTGATATAACACTAGTTTAAAATAAAGACACCATTTAGAACTGAAAAGGGTGTCTGCAAATGTCTTATTTCATGTATGTCTAAATATTAGATCTGCCCCCTTCCCGTCAATATCTGTTCTGCATTAATGTGTATTGTGGTGTCTTGGCTGCAGTTTGCACTCAGAGCAGGAAGAGCAGCAGAAGAAGTTGATGGACCTACAGGGAGAGCAGCAGAGGCGCCTTCTAGAAATGAGGGAACTTCAGCATGAGCAAGAACGCAAAATCAAACATATCCACTTGCAGCAGGTATTGGGAGCATCTCTGAACCCTGAGTGGGAGAACAATGCTCTCCCCTGAACACAATATGTATATCAGAAACTTACTGACTGGTATCAAACTTTCTTTCAGGCTGTTCAGAAGCTGCTGGATGTGGCTCAGTCGTGCAATACTGCTCAGCTAAAAAAATTAAAAGAAACCAATGAAAAGTGAGTGATATCAACAAACCTCAGAAAAAAATATGTATACAGGTGAAACTCGAATAATTAGAATATTGTGCAAAAGTAATTGCAGTAAGTGCTGCAAAAGGGGCCCAAACCAAGTACTGAGTACATATGCATGCTTGTACTTTTCAGAGGTCCGATATTGTTCTATGTACAATCCTTGTTTTATTGATTGCATGTAATAATCTACTTTTTTGAGGTTGTGGATTTGGGGTTCTTGGGGTTTTCATGAGCTGTAAGCCATAATCATCACAATTATGACAAATCACGGCCTGAATTATCTTGCTTTGCATGTAATGAGTCTATCTCATATATTAGTTTCACCTTTTAAGTTGCATTAGTGAAATAAATGAACTTTGCACGATATTCTAATTATTTGAGTTTCACCTGTATAATACATATGTATATTAAACCTAAAATTGGAACCCAGTGCAGCAATGGGTACTGGGAAATTATTATTGGAAAGAGAGGTAATTGGATGATGCTAATTCTGTAAATTGTGTAGTATAATGTATACTGGGAGTCCTCTGTGTCCAGTGGGAAATACATTGAGATTCCATTGGCATCCAGTGGGAAGTATGTAGACATTTCCTGATCGTTACAAATCGTTCCTGTCTGGTGTTTGCAACATTTTCAGTGGTATAACCTGCAGAATTATTGGATCATTTAACATTACCCTGCAGGGAGAAGAAAGAATTACAAAAGATCCTGGACAGAAAGAGACATAATAGCATCACGGAAGCCAAGTCACGAGACCGGCACAAGAAGGATGGGTCAGTGATTGATACCCAAATGTATTATTATCTTTATTAAATGCTTCTTCTGCTTTATTTCTTTACTATGTCTTTTATATGTTTTAAAGCTTGTCTTTTTGTTTGTGTTTTTTGACTCACCATCCTGTTATTAACCATTTATTTATTTTTGCAGAGAGCTCACTGAGATCAACAGACGTCACATCAATGAGTCGGTGAACTTTCTGCGCAGTGTGAGTAACCTTAGTAATATGGAAGATAGTACAGATATGTATTTTGATGTAAACATCTCCATAGGTTCTATGTGTATAAAAGAGCAACTTTTAGTTGACCTGTAAAAGCAATTGGTGAGATGATCAATCTATTCAAGGAACACTGAAACAGTGCTACAGTAAGATGGTCCACTCAGTTTGCTTTTCTTCTGTGTTGTCTACAAGGGCTACTTCACCCTTGATCTGTCTCATAGGACATCTCATTGACTCAACAGTATGTCTTCAGAGTCCTTTCCTAGCCTCCTGAATGACCTCTGAAATTGATGGGGATGTTGAAGAGAGTTGGCAAAATAGCACTGGCCAGTGCCCTGGGCAGAGACCAGATGTATTTATATAGGGGGTGGTGCCATTGCATTGCTTGAGTCCTCATTAATTCTCTCTCAACAGTTAGAAGAAGCACAAAAGAGGCGTCAGGAAAAGCTACTGGCGGCTCATCAGGACACAATACAGAGGATAAAAGATGAAGAGCCTAAGGTAAGCATTGATTTCAGTCTTCTTAGCTATATATTGCAGGCATAGGAAATTGTTGTCTCAGAAGATGGCATGTATCTGTACAATTGTTACACTGACGGCTGTGTACTACAACTCTCCTCTGTTCATCATTCTCTGAGTTACTTACCTGGAACCAGTATGCAGATCAGTGACTGTGAAAGTATTAAAAGCAGACACTGCTAGGGAGTTAGCCTTCTCAGTAGGAGATAAGCAATTGTAGTCAATGCACTTTCCTCATGACAGTTGTTCTATAAGCTGTCACCTCAGTTTATATTGCCTCTTCACAGGAGGAAGCGTTATCTAAGCCAAGTTATAAATCACAAAGGGCAAAGTAAATCTGTTGAATACCAGTATTTGTAAAGCAGAATCTTCTGACTCTGGTCGGAGTTTTTATTGTACTCGGCTGTTTTTGTAGAATTTGATTACAAAATGTGTAAATAAACTCAGCAGAGAAAGTAATTAAAGTATTACCTTTTGCCACCAGCGCCTCCTCCCACCCTCAATTCCTCATTTTTCTATTCTTATAAATATTTTATTTACCTTCTTTTCATTTCTCTTAGTTGATGGCCCAGTTGGAAGAGGAGTGCCAAGCTGAGTTCCGCCAGTTACCCCAGGAAGTTCGGCGATATCTGCAAGAGGAAGGAGGCAGCTGGGGCGGGGGGAGCTCAGGTCCTCCGTCATCCACACAGAGCACCCCGTCTTCTATCACACGGGGCTGGGGGTCAGAGCTTGGAGATGGGGATAATTTACAGACCCCAGAGGACTCAAGTGATTTGTGGGCCACATTTTTAAAACTAAGAGGACAGAGTTCTTATCTACTTATATTTTTATCTGTAAAATGTACAAAGGCACCTCATATAATCTGGAGACCAAATTACGAGTCAAAGGACCTCACCAAACAACAGGAAACAGGGCATCTACAGGACAGTTTTGTAAAGAATCAAAAGGTCACCTATACATTGTCCATGTCAAAGATTGGGGGCCCCACAGGGAATGGCCTCCTTATGGGAAGAATATACTGTATAGTCACTGATCTTTTATGGTGTGATGCGTGCATGACCCTGAATGACACTGCTTGCGCAACACTATGTATATGTGACATGTCTGTTGTAAGTTGTGTGTGAAAGTGGAGTGTGTGCGCTCGCCTGTCACCGTTTTATCCCATTTTATGTATTTTTTACGCACATTTTATTGCTCCAATAAAATGGTGAGAAACCAGATGTCATATTGTGTGTCTACATTTATTAATGGATATGCAATCTCTTGTTTAATACTGAAGTTATGCTGTTAATTGAAAGTCTTTCTAAAAGTGTTTTTTTTCCATCCTACAATTTCATTCACAGTATTATTGTTTTTACAAATTTGTAACCACTAGGTTGAAACGGTCTATTAATGTTTGCAGCTCAACTCTATTCAGAACAGCTACTTGTTAACTAATCGATTTTGAAAATAATCGTTAGCTGCAGCTCTACTTGATATGTAGATGATAGTATGGTCACATAGAGAAAGTTACTGTAATAAGGGTTATTTTATTCATGGATGAAATAACAAACATTGGTAAGAAAAGCTGGATTTTTTAATTATTCGATGAGTGTTTCCTATGTCTTTTGATTTTCCTATATCTGTACATTTTAATAAGGACAACTGACCTATTGCAGAAGACTGCTTCTACAAAAATATACAATTGTAAATTCCATAGCTACTCTGTTAGTGTTTTTCATAATGGTGAACTACTAAAAAAAAGGTTAAAACAATACAATTTGAGCAAATGTAAAATCTTTTATTATTTTTGTTAGAAATGGTTTTGTATTAGTCAGTTGTATTATTTGTATTATTATTATCAGGCTTATAACTTAGAATTGGCTTCACTTAAATTAATTCCGATTGGTTGCTATATGTTACTGCACTTCTCTCATTTTCTCTGGGCTGTTTTTTTCATGTTTTAATACTTTAATGAAATTCTTTAAAAAGAGAAGTACAATCAGACCTTTTTTGGCTATACTTTATTTTGGGTCACGGGAGTACATTTACAGATGCTTTACCACGCACTATATTGTCAAGATCCACCCCAGCTAGCTTTGCCTCTCTAAAGCCAGCCATGCCCACCCCTCCCTAGCCTGTGGTTCCAGCTAGCACTGAAGAAGCAAAGAGGAGTGGAGGGAGTCCCTGTGGGAGAGGGGGTTGGGCAAAGACTGAAAGGCACCGCTCTCCTTTGGGAGCAAAGCCAGCATGGGACAGGTGTAGTGTCCCACACTGGCTCTAAGTTATCACGGAGAGAATGTTTTACGCTCTCCTTACAGTTCCTTTAAATAAACTTAAGCCAAACCTCCATTCAAGGCTAAGCTACAGGTTTGTGTACCCCCAATCCCCAGCAGCATATATTCACTTTTCCTTTGCTCCCCGACCACTACGTTGAGGAGCCAAAAGTAAACACTGGCGTTAGGCTTTCATTTTAACAGAAAACATTGTTCACACAAGTTTACCAAAAAATAAACACAAAGCTTTGTATCTTAAGTAATATTAGAAAGTACTAAAGTTTTATGAAGTGAAAGCATTCACTTCCTACAGTCTTTGGTACTTGCCCTTGAGCAGTATGACTCTTGATATCGGAGAATTTAAAGGATACAAGAATAATAAAGAAATAAATAAATAGCATTTTATTGCTTTAAAATGAGAAGCCGGAAATTGCAAAATGTAACCAATTAACGTTTTGACCTGCATTACTTGTGATGGCAAAGCCGTCTTTACTTCTCTTCTATGACCGCCTGTCCCCTACATCATGTTCAAAGCGCTATTTTTGTGAGCAGGAGAAGCTCCAATTGCTTCATGGGAACAGTGCTTTCTTCATGCTCAGACATGCCTATCTAAGCTATGAGGAGGAGGCGCCATCTTCACAAGAATGATTGCACATGGAGGTACACTAAAAAAAAATCTAATTTGTTTTGCCAATATGTGATTTTTTAAAGTTGAACCAGGGTTTTGTTATTTGGCTGTTCTTTATGCAAGTAGAATTTAGGTTGGAGAATAGCAATACGTTGTGCATTTTTCTTCTGTTCCCCTTTCACTTTTTATTTAATTATTCTATGTAGAATTTATGGTAACTAATTTTGCTTTGGGTGGTGCTAGTGGTTGGAATTGCTTTTCATATCATCTAAGGGCTCCACCAGTAAGATCTCTGTACTGTTCTGTTCTAGCCTCTGCCTCCAGCCATGGCCATTACAAATTCAAACTGGAGTATCACACGCCTCCTGCTGTAAGCTACGGGACACATAGATAATAACAGCAGCACATGGCAGAGCAAAGCATTAAAGTGTGGGGCCCCAGCAGATAAGAAGGCACTGAGTAATTCAAGCCGATCATTAAAAACACTAGGGGGGCATATTTATAAAGCAGCAAGTCTTCTGGGTACATGTGTTTTAAAATGACAGTGATTGATTTACCACCAGTGAATGTTTGGTGAAAGTCACATTTACTGCTTTATGAATAAGCCCCTAGGCATCTGTACTAGGACAGCATTTTAATATAGAACTTCTGTTTCGTATGTTTTTTCTATTATTTTTTGCTTTTTTTGTTAATCTTTTCTGATCAGCATAAAAAAGAAAATGTTGCCATGGTCCCATTTCTAGGACTGGGCGTAATACCAGTGACCACAAACGGGTCTCCCTATCTTTCCTCTATAAGGAACCTCTATTATGGATCCACAGCACACCTTGAGTTACTAGGGTTTGTTGCTATGGGTTACAGCAGCTCCAATTCCTCTTGTCTAGGGATACATTTATTCGTTTTGCCCATCAGCACTTACCGCCCTTCTGGTGATCAATTGAAGTGAAGTCAAGACTGTAGATATGATGCTTGAAACTTTTATTTGCAGAACTTAAGGGAGAGAGGTAGAGGAGGATTAGGAACATCCAGGCAGATGTAGACTCCATGGCTTTCAGAGAGTGCGGTTACTGTCTCCATGCACTGCAGGTCGAACACCTGACACAGCATTACTTGAGGTAGAAGTTACTGATCCTTGTCTTTAGCAGTAGCAGCCAATTGACCTGCTGCCACCAGGCTCCAGGGTGATTCAATGGCTAGTCCCTAGGCTTTTAGCCCTAGCCAGCTCAAGCAGTCCAGTGCAGCCTCCCCACAGGCTGGGCCTAGGGGAGGAAGAGAGAGCTCATATGGTCCGCCCCAAGTATTTATCTCCTCCCCCAGCATGCACTACTGGCTATCGTTCAGCAGTGATTGGCTGGAGAGGGATATGCACTCATAGCAATCCCATTGGTTGCTCTGTCCTGTGACCAGGGCACACCCTGCAGTACCTCTAGCAGCAGACAGATGGCAATTGATGACATTGTTTCGGGGGAAAACAAAGTGAACCCAGACCACAAATTAGTATCGGGCCACATACAATCCAATAAACACTACATTTAATAGCACCCTTTCCACTAGGGCGCTACATTTATACTATGAAGCAGGGAGGAAGGAGGTGCTTGCTGATCCATCCAGTTCCTTTGTATTCTCAATCGGGTTTTCTGACCTGATCACAATTTCTCTCTGAAATTTCTTTTACAGAAATGTTATTGAAGTTTTACACATAGACAAAATAACCATCAAAGAAAAGACCGTACAGTACAAACCAACAAATGGGGTAAGTCACAATAACACCCCCTGTACCCTATCCACATAGAAGCACCAGTCAAGAGAATCAGTATAAATTCAAAGCAAAGGCGTCCACAGTAAAGCAAATTCCAACACCTGAGTATAAACACTGTTGCGTTTTTAAAGGGCCATTATCAGTACGTTCTGTAAAGAACAGCTGTAGCATAAACCTAAGCCTCTTGTAGAAGTTCCATAACACAAAAAAAGGAGAGGGAGGAGTAAAAAAAAATAAAGGCCAAAGATCAAAGGGAGGGATGACCACTGGGAGAACACTTCCAGAACCTGGGAAATTGCCTCAGAGGTACAACACTCAGAAATTTTGGAAATGTATAGTTAAGAATGGCTGCAAGTTTCCCATTGATCATAGCACGATACCTGTGATCACTTGACTTGTTTGCCTGCAGAATCTTGCAATCACCTGCTTTGTGACTAGGAAGAAGTGACCAGCTAACATGTCTTCATGCTTTCTAAGGCTTTGAGTCTTCCTATGCAACAATGCCTCTCAGGGATTCCATCTTAAACTGCAATGGAGTACAGAGTGGAGCAGGCTATAGACATAGACCCTGAACCTTAGGGCACTCCCACCAAATATGAAACCACAGAAGGAGCAATCCCGGAAGCAGCAAGGAGAAATGGTAAGGTGAAAGGTAGATTCTATCAGGCATTAAGTACTATCACATCAGCACTTTCTAGGAGTTTTCTAAAGCGAACATGTTCAAAGGACTGCTAGCCACACATGCCCAAATCACATCCCAATCCAGTTGTTCAAGACTTCCCCCGATCCTGCTCCCATTTAAGAATACTCCCTAAGATGTAATGGTCAGGAGTGTCTGCATGTCCCTATTGCCCTGAAATCATCACCAAGACGGGCTGATAATTTCCATCCTTACTGAGGAATGTACAAATGAAGATTTGGAAAATGTATTTTTAAAGCACTATGTGGAGAGGGAAGACCATGCAGTTTACCCATATGAACAATAAGCAACGGCCACTTGGGTGTACTTGACTTACAGTAACACACATTGCTATATTGTGGTTCACTTGGCCTACACATTTTTATATAGTCTGCTTAAAGGGAACCTGTAGTAAGGGAGTATGGAGTACCCCACTTATACAAGTTCCCTGGCTGTTATGAGGTTCTTATGGCTTCAGTACTTTTAAAGTCATTGATACGAAACTAATGCAGATTTTGCACAAAAAGGCGCATGCTTGTTTTCTTGGATGTTTTGTTGTGTTGCCACATCAGGGCGCTAAAGGTATGAATGAGCTCTTATTGTTGAAGAGATTCTAACAGCGGATCACTAATTCTGTATATGAGCTGTGCCTGGGGTTGGAGCTATTTGCAGAGGCAGCTATTTGGTGCACCAACCTATATACAGATCCTGGCTGCAGGTCAGATCTGTAAGTAGTGACCTCCCAGTATGCAGAAGATGAGATCTTCTGAGAGACATTTCTGCATTTCCTGGTGGTCCTGGTGCAAGCTAAGATTAGTGGTTGCCATGAAGAGTAAAAATATCTGTAGCTATATTGAATTTATTGTCCATTGGTGTAATATATCTTGGCTCTCTGAAAACCACACCTGTCTCCTCAAACAATATTTCAGAGTGTATATAAATGATGCCATGTAGCCAAAGAGTACACAACTATGGAACATGGAGGGCTACAGATGTTTTGTACCATATGAAAACACTTGTTTACAATGCATGAGCTGAATTGTACATCCTTATATTAGTATTCAGATGATGGAAGTCCTGTCAAATTTGCACAGCATGCCAGTTTAATATTTGGCCATATAGCTTTCAGTTGTTGCCAAAGATCAAAAAAAAATGTGCATTTAATTGACGAGAAGATTGCCAGAAAGGGCGACGCTTACAGTCAGAAAATGTGTTAGTAGATTGTCAAAAGCAGATCAGGTCAATGTCTTCGTCAAAAAACAAAATAATAATAATAATAATAATTCTTATTTAGACATCCAATCGTGTAAGGCTTTGAAGAGGCATTAAGAGAAAATAAGGTACAAAGGGAGATTTATGCTCGCCGTCTGAAATGCTAATGTGTGTTTCTTTTCTCTAAGAAGGATCCGGAATGTGAGCCAAATAAATAAGTGGCCTCATTTAATTCTAAAACCTGAGTACAAATGAGATCCTAAAAGGTGCTTATAGATGCATCAAATGGATTTTTTTTTTCCTTAAGACTTTTTCAGCAATGCTCTTCACAACATTCAACTTGACTCAGATGAGGTGAAGATTTCCTTGCAATGATAATGTTTATGTATAAGATATTAAAGGAGAACTATGGGGTCTGTGTTTTTCCCCCATAGTTCTCCTTAGGGTAACCCGAGGACACAAACTAGCGTCCTCCCGTTACCCTAAGCTCAGTATACCGCGAGCTACAGCTCGCGGTATACTGAGACGCCGCAGCCGGAGCGGATCCCGACCTAGACGACGGGATCCGCCCAGCTGCGTGAGTGACAGCTGGCTCAGAGCCAGCTGTATCCTCCCCCGTCCGTTCCGCCAGTCAGCGCTGGCAGATCGGAGCGGGGAAAGGGGAATCCAGCCCCTCCCCCTGTCACGGCAGAGAGCCGTGACAGGATCAAGAGGTGAGCGAACGCCGGTATGTGTTCGCTCACCTCCCGATCTACTGAGCCGACCTGTGACAGTCTCATTGTCACAGGTCGGCTAGAACTATGAGGTGAGTGAAAAGCACTCGCCTCATAGTTCTCCTTTAAAGTAACTTAGAAAGCCATAATATATTGAGACGCTTGTAGAAATTTCCAGTCTTGCTGGTAAGTGAATGTCAGTGATGACGAGCCCACCATGGCGGGAACTATACAGGAAGGCGTTAGATATTGCGCTGAGTATACATAATATATCTGATACCCTCTGACCCTGGTAAATACTGCAAGGAAATCAATATGGAGGTTGCAGCTACTGATCTTCTGTAAATGTTAGTTTCATGGCTGCCTTTCAGTTCAATTCATTCTGAATCACTGCTCCAGAACAAGTAAGCAAATCACTTTATGTGCACCATCCTTATTCTGCGTCACTGTCTTAAGCTGGCCATACACCTATAGATTATTATCAGAGGATTTTCTGTGGTCAGATGGAAAAAGGGCAACAGATTCCTCCATCTATGCTAAACTGTGGATGGGGTAATCTCCCACTGGGCCAATCTTCAGTATCTTGCTAGATGGCCCCGCTGGCTGTTAAAATACCTGAACAATCTGATTGGATGCAGGCATTGTTCAGGTATTTTAGGAGAGCCAGCGGTGCCGACTAGTAAGATGCTGAAGCTTGGCCCAGTGGGAGATTCCTCCATCCACACAGTTTAGTGTAGATTGAGGAATCTGTTGCACCTTTTCCATCTGACCATAGAGAATCTGCAGATAATCTATAGGTGTATGGCGAGCTTCAGAAAGAATTGAAGCCAGAGGGTTTGCAATAAAGCCATACTATCATGACAGGTCGTCTTTGTTTTTCCAAAAAGCAGCTACTTTTTCTTTCTTTGTTCTCCAGCAACATGGCCCAGAGGGGAACTGGTGCAGAGAAACCTATGAATGCCCTCATTTGACATATCTGCTTCTGAAAACGCTAGATGCTTGGCTGATCCAATGGCTTCAATACTTCCTCAGTCACTTACTCAAAACAAGTATGCAGAATGGTTCTGACATCACCTGTAATCTGCTTGGTCCAGGTCACCAGGGGCCTATTCACACTTGTCTTGGAAATGCTTGTCATGAAGTAATCCCATTCTTTCCTATGTGCCTGGTTTACATCAATGTGCTGCAGTTTAGTGTGTATGACAATGGGAAACCCTATAGGCCCATTCACGCCTACACGTGTGTGTTACCGTACACTCTGAATGCACAAGAAATAGTGTAGATCCAGCCTGGGTCAGAACTGAAGCCAGGAACAGCCAGGCATCTAGCATTTCTAGCTGGTGATCAGTGGCAGCCTATTATTTTTGTCTGTATTGGTTTCCTTTAAGCAATGCCTGCGCTACAATAAAAATAATTTCTGCTCACACCAGCTATGTAGAGGCAGCCAGAACAGTACTACCAGCTCCGTTGTGCTACCTTTACATGGCTGTTCATAAGCAATATAAGGAGGAGACATTGAGGCAGATCAATGTTCTTGGTGATTAGAAAGCAGTTATCTATCTTTTCATTATCAGCTAGGGATCTACAAGTGTATGGTCAAAATGTAGGTTGCAATTTCCATTCGCACTCCTACGGTCTTACAGTTCAAAAAAGGTATCTGTGGTGCTCAAGGTGACCGCACGGATGGCGCCGTGCAAACACTAGCAGTAAATACAAGGATTTCACCGGCACACTTGAAGATTCAAATATCAATATCAATATTGAATTGATTTATTTATTCAGTGAGGGACGTCACATGGTGTCATAAGGTGCTAACGTTTCGGGTCCGCACAGGGATCCTTCACCAGAGTGACACAGTGTGGACTCGAAACACTGGACACTGTGTCGCTTTGGTGAAGAATCTTCAAGTGTGTGCTGGTGAAACCCTGGTATTTACTGCTATGGTCCAAATGTGTTATTTTTCTGCCATGGAAATGGATAACAAAGACAGACATTGCAGGTCAGCTGGGAAATGCTTTTTTCATGGTATATTTGTATTTTGTAATAAATGAATAGACAAATAGCAAATATTATTTGTATACATTGACAATGTTCTAATTATAAAGGCGGGAGTTGTAACTTCAGCTGGCATTGCAGATCAATAACTATTGAGCACAGGATCTGTCACTCATGGATCAATGTTGTTTACTCAGCAAAACAAGCCACTAGCTGTCAATCAGTGGAAGACAGAGATCCACATTTAATGCATTTCACTGGCACATACAATTTAAAAAGAGAAAAGTGGAAACTTCTCTTGTGTAGTCAGCTGGAGCAGCTTTGCCTTGAGCTGGACATTTCTTGAAGCTAGACAACATTTTTGTGATATTAAACAGAGGTGATGTCTGCATGTGCCAACAGCACTATCGCTCGTCTTGGCTATTCTGTATCACCCATCCCCCTTCCTACAGTGCCAAGGTGGAATCCTATCTTCTGGAACATTAATGTTTCTGCATAACATGTGAGTGATTCATGCAGAACACTCAGGACCAAACTGATCGAGAGATATAGCTAACTTTTCTCACATGTCTTCGTTATGTAGCCTCTTAAATGTAACTGTGCACTGACTACCAGTAATGTCAGAACTATAACTCTCCATCCTATTTTATCTCATTATTGTTGTCTATACATTATTATACACCTGCATGAATTTATCACCGGAAACATTTTTTAAAATTATTTGTATCACCCACCCTTGTTTGTAGCACCAGAAAAAGATGGTGCTGAATTATCATTAGTAATAATAATTACAATAATGATCATGATGATCTATAATATGAAAAGAAACATGCACTCCCTGTTTCATGT